AGGGAGGGAGGGAGGGAGAGAGAGAGAGAGAGAGAGAGAGAAAGAAAGAAAGAAAGAAAGAAAGAAAGAAAGAAAGAAAGAAAGAAAGAAAGAAAGAAAGAAAGAAAGAAAGAAAGAAAGAAAGAAGAAGAAGAAAGAAAGAAAAAAAAAGAAAGAAAGAAAAGAAAGAAAGTAGGTAAGTCTTACTTCTTGTCTGTAGGAGTAATGCTGCCATTGATAGCCGTGCTGTCTGCTGCCTGGATAGAAGTGGACCCAGTTTCCTACGGAAGAACACAGCCCTGTCAGTGACCAAGTTCGCCTTAGCAAAATGGGAATGATCTGATCAATGAAGGGAAATCAAAAGCAAACTCTTCTGTACCTCTTCACACACCTTCAGCTTCTTTGTGATGGCCTGATAGCAAACTGTTGGCTGTGTGGAAAAGAGAAAAGCACACATTGTAGAGGAACCGGTCTCAACTCAGCTGTAGGCTAAGGTGGCCCATTCACCCAAACAGTCACATTGTTGTGGACAAGCAAGGAATTTCTCCCCACTAAGCACTTTGAGAAATAACAGTTGAGAGGCCTCATAAAAGTAGAAGTCACATCCTGAAATAGGGTGATGGTAAAGATAGCAAATTAGGTGGGACAGAACAAAGGCTGTAGATTCAGAATACAGATGCGCTTAGATTCTCTTTTTAAAAAGCCTTTGCATTTTTAATTAGATTTATATCTTGCCTCTCAGTTAGGAGTTCGAGGTGCCATAGGCAATGCTTCTTTGAACAATGTTCCCCACAACAATCCTCTGTGGTTGATTAAGAAAGTGTGTGTGGCCCCATATAATTTACTGGATTTCTGCAGCTGAAGGGGAATAAAAATGAATCTCTCTGCTTCCTGCTCAAAACTATATCCTATACACCAGTGTTTCTCAACTGTAACAACTTGAAGATGTGTGGACTTCCACTCCCAGAACTCCCTGGATAAGATAGCTGGTTTTCTGCTTTGACTAATCCATGGTTTATTTAAAATAGGAACCACCACTCTGCCTATCCACCCTTCCCAAACCATGTATCAGCCTAAAATTCATTTTATTTTGCTTACCTTTTCAGTTTGGCTAAGCAGGAAGTGGTGGAAATGAGGGTCACCATCTTTCACAGGCTGTTAACGGCAAAGGAACAAATTGAGAAACCAACGCAATGAAACATCAAGTCTTGAAAAAGCATCTATACACACTATGAATGGGTTTCAGTTTCAGATTCTGATGGAAGTCTTTGGTGCCTTTTTGGAAAGTTCCTTGCTTACTTCGGGACAAATGTAAATATCATGCATTTGATGGGGATAAATACAGGAAAAAGTCAGGATATGGAATGTAACTAATAAGAAAAAATACTAAGAGTTGGCTGAAAAGCATCCATGCAGCTACACAGAAGAATGCTTGAAAATGGATCGTTTGTACAAACTACCTTCTTATATAGGCTAAGAAAACATTTTCTAATTTAAAAGGAACATATTTAAATTATTGGCTTCTAAGCTGTTATCTCAAGCATTCTTAGGAAGCAGCAAATGACACTGAACAAAGTACAGGTAACAGATGATTTTAACATATTATGTACGTACTTCAAAGACCTTCCAGGGCAAGATTTCAATCACCAGATGTAAGGATTTCAGTACAGGTAATCCACAACTTACAACCACAAAGTCCAAAATTTCTGTTGCTAAGCAAGACAATTGTTAAGTGAGCTTTGTCCTATTTTATGACCTCACTTGCCACAGTTGTTCAGTGAATCACTGCAGTTGTTGAGTTAGCAACATGGGTTCTTAAGTGAATCTGACTTCTTCCCCCACTGATTTTGCTCGTCAGGTCATTAAAGGGGATTACGTGACACTACCTGGGACACTGACACCTGTTGCCAAGAGTCCGAAGGTTTATCATGTGACTGTGGGAACGGTTGTGTGAGAAACGGTCTTAAGTCATTTTTTTTCAGTGCTGTTGTAACTTCGAATGGTCACTAAATGAACTGTTGTAAGTCGAGGACTACCTGTATCGCTTGAATATTCATTCTCTCCCTCTCTCTCTCTCACACACACACAATACACCAAGAGCTGAATTGTTGCTTCTTCTGAGAAATATGTAAAGAATTAAAATCACCTCGCTTACACTCTGTGGCCACTTAAAGCCAGCCATGGTGCCAGTCATCATTTTCTTGACTGTGCTTGACTCAGGAATTGTCGTGTCCTGTGGAGAATATAGACCAGTGATGAGTACTATCTGTAGAATCCCCAAATCTATCTATCTATCTGTCTATCTGTCTATCTGTCTATCTGTCTATCTATCTATCTATCTATCTATCTATCTATCTATCTATCTATCTAATGTTGGCAGTTTCCATTCCTCTCTTGTAAACAACAGCAAGCATAAAGAATAAGCACATGTAGTACCACAAAGCTACAGAGATATATCTTAAGTTGCCATCTATGCATTTACATGCAATGTTCTTCTTTCCCCTTTCTTAAATGCAGTACTTAAATTCATTTTATGGCTATCCTAAGTCAGCACTTGAAAACAGTGCAACATAAGCTGTTATAGATCCAGTTTTTAACAGTGCTAAAACATATGTAGATATATGTATATAAAATTAAATTTTATTTCATTTTCATGTTGGGTTTAACTTGAGCCCTTGGATGGATGTCATTTTATATCATTATGCCCAGCTGCCCTGGAGAAAAATATAATGTATATATTGGGAACACAAAAGAACAAGCTTGAATGTGTTCTACCCTATCTCCAGAATTACTCTTCTTCCTAATGGGGCTCAATCATTATTTCTGTAGTGGGATATAGTTTTCACTTCACAAATCTTCTGCTCGTTGAAAACCCTGAAATATGAGTCAAAGCTTTTGGCATCCAGGTTACTGAAAATCTTTGTCCAGTAATTTTTTTTTCATTTTGCCAGGCATTTGCCTTAAATTGAATTGCCTATTTTGGTTATGCTCTAATCATCTTTCTTCGAAAACATGCTACGCCCTGGAGACGGAATAATTTGAATGACTGAAAAGCAAAGTATTTTTCAAAAAAATAAATTCCTTTTCAAAACCTAATGGGAGCGACTTTGTATTCTCTAGCAATTTCCCCCCACCTGCCTGTTTTCTGGATTTGTGGCTTTCAACCCCACAAATTTTCCAGCTAATAATACAGTGAGAATTCTAGGAGTTGAAACAGGTATATTCTGGCAGCCTAAGTTGGAGAAGGCTACTTTGCATTACTTCAAATTTTAGGAGGAATATACACAGAACATTCTTATCAGCTAGGAATAACTAAGCAATAACAGCAGTATAACAAATCCAGACATCTGGCCTCTGTTCTTACAAACCTCTAGGTCCATTGTTTTACAAGCAAAAAGCTATTTGGTATCTTAATACTCTTCTCCTCTACAGAACTCTTAATTATGTATTTTCCACCACCCTTTGAAACCCACTTTCATATTATACCACTCAACGAGATCCAACTACCACAACCTAGGCAATTTTTGTTACCAAGACAACTCAGGAACCAGAATTGCTAACAGCCACTGCCACCACCATCATCATCACTGCCTCTAATTTTCTTTTATGCATTCCAGGTGTTTTCTCTACAATCAGGATTCATGTTAGGCTGTCTTTCATACAATGGAGTTTGAAAATATCCTTCCACAAAGTCTCAAAGCAGGAAGTTATGCAGGGATGACAGCTGAATATGAGAAGCATCAAGAAAGCAGATTACTAAGGCCTCACAAGACAGAGACTAATGGAATCTAGCATATGCATGACTGAATGCCTTATAAAAGAGATCTCAGGGCTGGAGAGAGAAAGGAAGAAAATGCCATTTTATTCATTTCCCAGAATACTTAAAGACTCTCATGACAATTTCTCTGCCACGCTTTTCACTTTGGAAAAGAAATACAGGCAAAAGCCCTCAAAATCACCATCTTCATCATCCTTGAAGGTACGTTGATTATTGTTAACATTGTTAAAAACAAAACAACCCTAGCCACTAGTTACTCAATCTTTAGCAGGTTTCCGTTCTTCCAGATTAAGATCTAAACGCTTCGTTCACAATTCCAAAGCAAACACCACCACTGATAAACCACACAGTAATAGGCAAAATGTAAGGTTAAGAGAGAAGAATAATCTCTGTATAACCAAAGTACAAGCCCCAATGAAGAAAACTCCAAACCCTACTGTAAGTAACTGAAGACAGGAATTCAGTCTGTCGCCAGCAAGATATTAGACTGCCTCTGAAAGTGGTCAGCATTTAAATCCCAAATCAGAAGAAGCAGATTCACAACTAGGAATTGAAAAAAAAAAAAAAGGCAGTGGAAGACAGGAGTGGCATAAAGTTTGATTGTGGATATGTGGTATGAAATTCTAGTGGATCTTGGTTGTCCTGTTTCATAACGACCTTCAGGTTCAGCACCCAGTAAAGAATGTATATTCTAGCATTATCCACTTTGCTGTTTACAACTACATTGAGAAGGTCACCAGCTAGAGGTTCCAAATCTTGGAGAGGAGAGGCAAATGTTCTACAAGTGAACTCTACATGTCCAAGGATGAGTCACACCACAACATGGGAGAGGAGAAAGCTCCAATATTGGAAAAAATATATATGAAGAACTGATGTCTTCTGGTGGAATCATTCACTTCTGGAGTGTTTCTTCATCTTATCACACTACAATTTAAGCCACTTGTCCTTATGTAGTTGGAGATGGATCAGACACACAAATGAGATGGAGATGTTAACAGAAGGTGCTTTGGAACTACCAAAGGTAAAAAACTGTGTCGCCATTTCCTCCGCTGGTGGAGGCAAGATGGAAGGCCCCGATGTCACTTGTTGACTTTAACAAGTCAAAGAACATTTCAGGTATAGTAACGCACAAGGGCCGGCTAATACAAGTTAATTACGACTCTGAATGGAATATTAGGCGGTAGGTTCCCAAATGGTTAAAGACATGCAATTTTCCAAACGGTCACAACAATGAAGTCATCTGGATGGCTGTTAGGACTACATTCCATTCTGGACGAGCTCACAGGAGCCCGGGAAGGAATGCGCAGCAAAACACAAACCTTCTCATCTTTGGGAGGGCGCCCTCGCTTCCGGGGGCTTTGCTTGTACATTCTCTTCAGGGGGGACTTCGAGCCTCTCTCAGAGGACACAGAAGATGCTCGCTTTTTCGGTTTCCTTTCTGACAACCCCGCTTTGTGTTTCTCCTCTCCCACTGACTGCTTCCCCCTCTCTTCGCTGGAATTACGCCGGTTCTTCTCTTCAGCGGAGTTATGAGAAGGCGCCTGAGAGATCACAGAACAGAAGGATGAGGAAAAGACGGGGCCGTCAGGTGGCAGCGGTTTCATTTTCCCCACACTCACCAAACCCGAGTGGTGTCTGGCCAGGTGTCTCAAGCGCGCCAAAGGCCCCAAATAAAAAATAAAAATTAACAGGTTTAAGCTACTGAACAAGAGACGCTCAAAGTACACCGGGAGTTCCTTTTGAAGAAGAACCAGGTCCCAATTCCTGAGTGCACAGCAGATATACACCTCCAAGTGCCTAGGATCAAGCGACCCTTTGATCTCCTTTGATCCAAATCAATCCAAGGCAGGACCGTCAGCGGTGAAAATGAACAACCTTTCAAAGGCGGCAACTGTGACCCTAACTGTGATCCTCTAGCCACAACCCTAGAGACAAAAACATGCAATCCCTTTTTGGAGAAGAAAGCAAAACGGTCGTACGAACAGCTCACCCCATCCATGACTCCGAAGAACAGGGTAAGTTGGCACCGCTCGCTGGAGGGCCACCTACCTGGTCCTTGCCTTTTCCTTTCTTGAGGAATTCTTCCACTGCGTCCACAGCTTGTTGGAACCTCTTGCCTTTGTTAATTTTGATCATTTCTTCTTTGTGGGCATGGTAAGGTTTCAGCTGCTCTACTTTAATCCAAGCACTAGTGAAAAGAAATCAGAATCACCACATTGTTTGTAGTCAAAAGAACAAAACGACCACTTTCAGTGACAGTGGCGTCTCTTTTAGTCAGTGTGTGGGGGTGGAATCTGTGTTTCTGTCCCCTATCAAAACCTTCCCTCCTTTCTCCATAAGGTCACTGCCAATGCTGACCCAGACATATGGCACCCCATTATCATAACATGGTTGTATTACGCTGCATGCAATCCTCAGGAATGGAATTTGCCCGGGGCAAATAAAACCGACGTGTATTTATCCTTCATACTTTCTAAATTGTAAATCATTCTTTTTTCCTGCTTCACTTTTAAAACAAGATTTAGGGATAATCACTGTTCATTTTTCAGTTGAGGCTCTGCTTCCCTTCCTGTTCCTGCTTGTTTTGTGGTGACCAATTTAAGCAAATGGGTGGAGCGGTCCCAGATACAGGTAGTCCTCAAGTTACAACTACAATTGAGCCCAAAATATCTGTTGCTAAGTGAAACATTTGTTAAGTGAGTTTGCCCCAATTTACGACCTTTGTTGCCACGGTTGTTAAGGGAATCATTGTATTGGTTAAGTTAGTAACATGGTTGTTAAGTGAATTTGGATTCTCCATTGAATTTGCTTGTCAGGTCATAAAAGTGGATCATGTGACCGCAGGACACTGCAACCATCATAAATATGAGTCAGTTGCCAAGTATCTGAATGTTGATCATGTGACCATGGGGAGGCTGCAATCGTCATAAATGTGAAAAACTGACCTAAGACAATTCTTTTCAGTGCTGCTGTAATTAAGTCAAGGATTATCTGTATTTCCTTTGTACAGTCAGGGTTATTATTTTGGCAGGTATCTAAGTATCAGAAATTCATTCACAGAGAAGGCATGAACAAAAATTTCTTCTGTGACTTAACATTCACACCAATAGCCCTGAAGACTTTTCCATCTTACTGTTAGTTTATTTAACAATTCATATTATACCCTCTGAAGCTTCAACAGTGATTCAGAATATGCGGCAATGGTAGTATTACCTTAATACGGGGTCCTCAACCTCAGGGCCATGGCCTATTCAGAATTAGGCCACACGAGTGGCTGGCTGGAGCGTGTGTAGTTCAACTTGTACAAGTCCAGCTGCGCAAATGTGCCGGCCATGACTCATGCAAGAGCTGCAAGTGTGTGATGGCCTGCCACTCACATGGCCCAGTTCCCCTGCGTTCCCCCCCCCCCCCCCAAACAGCCAGGCCGCCAAGCCACAAAGGTTGGGAACTGCTGCTATAACAACATAGCCCATAATGTTCATTTACTTTTATTTGGGGCCACATACAGGGAAAAGAGACCTCCTAATGGCACTGAAGAACCATGAGCAAGGATAGGATTGCCTATATTAACTTGAGCTGACGTACTTCTTTTCAAATCCCTGCAGTATTCACAAGCAGAGAGAAAATAGGACCACTTTAATAAGTGTTAGGTGGCTCAAAATATGGTTGGGGTGTGTGAAAAAGGATCAAACAGATAAGGATCTAATAGATAAGCAGGTATGATTTTTCTTTCCTAGAAGCCCTATAGGAATGGTATCTCATCATCGTGCAGAACTGGGTCTAGGGCATTTCAGGAAACTGGAACTGCGGCAAAGATGAAATGTAGCCCAGGGGGAAATTTATAGCATCGATTAACTGAAACTAAACCCAAGCTTTCTTCTGCTAAATTTCCAACCCTCAAAATATCAATAAGCTGTTTGGCCCTTATGATAGAAGCTTGCTTCGGTGCTGTACATGTATCATGCACGTGCGCGAGAAAGAGAGAGAGAAATATTAATCATGTATTAATTATGTATCTAGCAGATACATGAATAAAACCTAGAGCATGTGTGTTGGCTCCATTACCAAAGCTGCGGTGCCAAAATGGGAGACTAGTAGGAATGAAAGAAAGCCAATTCCTCTACAGCTTCCTTTGGTTAACAGATGCTCCCAAAGCCTCCAGCCTTTGCAGTTTCAGAGAAGCAACCATCATCCAGGTTTGTTAATCTGCTTTTCCACAGCTGGTTTTCCAATACAGGTAGTCCTTGGCTTACAACCACAACTGAGCCCAAAATTTCCATGGCTAAGCGAGACCCTGGTTAAAATGGAGTTTTGCTCCATTTTAAACCTGCCACGGTTGTTAAGTGAGTCATTGCAGTTGTTGAGTTCGTAACATGGTTGCTAAATGAATCTGGCTTCCCATGACACACACATGACACACACAGACACACAGAAGACACTGCAACTGTCATAAATATGGGCCAGTTGTCAAGCATCTGAATTTTGGTCACGTGACTATGGAGATGCCGTAACAGTTGTGTGAAAAATGGCCATAAGTCACTTTTTTAAAATGTTGTTGTAAGTCTGGTCACTAAATGAACCTGTAGGAGTCTTCCTGGCTTCTGAAACTTCAGTAAACATGTATTTGCTATGGAAGCTAGAAATCCATTTTTGTTTTTGGAATTTTAATTCCCATTACTATATTTTATGCCACTAAAATAGCTGGGCCTACTGAGCTCTCCTGAGAGCAGGACTCGATTCATTAATTTTCCAGACCTCCACATTTCCGCTCATCTCCTACAGCAAGTGATAAGATTTTTCCAAGTTGAATTCGGAGCTATGCACAATTTATTTCGAAAGACTGACCCTTTTCAGCTGCAATCTGTTCACTAATCTGTGCTGGTTACGAAATAGCATTTCAGATGCAGCCCCCATTTTGAAGCACGAGAGTGCTGAACTCTCCATTTAAAAAGTGTTATATAGCATGTCGAACAGCCTTTCAAAGGCTTAACAAGCTGTAAACAAATGAAACTACTTTGCAGCAACAGATTATCGATTAATCTGGCTCACTAGAAATAATATTTAACACTGTAGTATTCTAAGGGCTGAACCTACAGATCATACCATAAATCTAAACAGTAATTCCCCCACTCCTTTCACTTTTACAACTTTACTGAATAAACCTATGTTGAAGAATTTAAAACCATGTTTTCTCAGACTGTAGTCATTCTAAATTAAACTTTTGCAATTGCCCCAAATCCCATCTTACAAAATTCCAAGCTCTCCAAAAGAAAAGTTTCCTCATTACTTATTAGATCTTTTTGGTTGTTCAGGGATGGGATGTCAAAACCATGATGGAACAAACTGCACTAAGCATGTTGTTCCAAACGTGCCAATGAAATCAATTTCTATCAAATTCTTATGAACCTGCTGTTTATTTTCAATGCAACACAGGCAAAAAGACAATCCCATCTTGCTTACAGGGCCTAATGCCCAGCTTTCTCCATCTGATTGCTCTTCCCAACTGTTTTTTTTCTTTCAATTATCTAAAACAAGGAGTCATGTGAAATGAGAAAGGAGAGGCTGGAAATGACCTCACGCTTGTCAAATGTCTTCCTCCCTTCAGAAGAACGCTCCTCAATTCTAACTTCATCAAAAGGAAGCCCTCTTTGGGTTGGTTATCTCTTAGCCAACGGATGGGAATCCATCTGTGGACCAGATTCAGTTATTCATCTTTAACATTGACTCTAAAGCATTTTTTTCTATTGGCCTGAGAGGTTAAGACAATTTAATAGAGAAACGTGAAATTCTAGTACGTGAGCTCTTTCTCTACAAAGGATCCAAAGAGCTTCTCTACAAAGGATCCAAAGTTTAACCAAAAAAAATTGTTTATTTTATTTTCTTCTAGATAAAAGGGGGAAAAAAGGAGAGAAGTACATACTGGTCTTCAGTTCCAAAAAACTTCACAAAGAAGCACTTCTTCCCACGTGGTTTCTTCAGGTCCTTAGGTGGATTAACAATCTAAAAAAAAAAGAGGGGATGGGGAAAGCAGCAACAGTTAAGAGAGAGAACACTGATTTTTCTCAAGGTTCATCCAGTATTCCCTGCTTTGAAAGACATCATTCTGAAATAAGATTTCACATTTGTGAAAATTAAAGATATATTTGTCACATAGCGCAATGTGAAATGTGGTACGGGTTCAAATTCTTGTTTGCCAGCAGATTCGCCATGCGACTTTGGGCTAAACACTCCTTTCCCAATCTTACCTACTTCTTTGGGGATAGAAGTGGAGAAGACTCCCATTCAAACCTCTGGGGAAAGACACAGATAAAAGGCAGTAAGTTTAAAGGCTCCTGGCTCCAGTGGTGCTGCCACAAATCCAGAGGGCAACAAAACTTGCTAACTGGAATTTTCTACCCAACTGAATTCTGGTTTATTTCGTTATTTAGCACTGGCTTTGTTTCAAGGTTCATGTTTAAGGTTTCTGAAAGTAGTGGTTAAGGGGCCAGGCTAGAAACAGAGAGTGCAATTTCATGTGCCACCCTAGGTAGAAAGCCAGGTGGGTG